TTAGAAAATTCTATTGAATTTCTATTAAACTTTCTATTAGTTTTTGGCTGATTCTATTGACATGTTCAATAGAAAACATTCAATAGAAAAAGTCAACAGAATTCGATTTTTCTATATAACTTATTCTTCTCATATATTTTCTATAGAATTTGCTCGACTCAAATTTTCTAAGTTTTTTTCAATCTATTTTTCTTTTCTTCTCATCAAGAAAATCAAACGAAAAAACTTGAGCCGAGGAAATTCTATAGAAAATATCTCAATAGAATAAGTTATACAGAAAAATTGAATTCTATTGACTTTTTCTACTGAATATTTTCTATTGAACATTTTAATAGAATCGGCCAAAAACTAATAGAACAGTTCAATAGAAATTCAATAGAATTTTCTAACGAATTCGATAGGTTATTCTATTAATTTTTTTCGTTCGTCAATTCTTTTGAGATTCCTGCTAAAAACATTTTTTTAGAATAATACAAAAAACTTAATTTAATTCAATTAGGAACCATTTAAGTTAACGAGACTCATATTATGGTAGGTATGAAAAAAATCACAGAAGAAGCTATCGCATCCCCTAGGAAATTCTGTTGGATTCCTATGAGACTATTTATGGGACTAATCTATTGGATTTCTATTGAAAAATTTCGCAGCATTTCTGCGATTTTTTTTATGGAAAATTTTTTATTCTATTCATTTGTTCTATTAAATTTTCTCACAAGTGAACGTATTTTGAAATAATTCGATTAAAAGAAGAATGCATAATTGATGAATGATTGAACAATCCTGGGAACAATCCGTCGAGTAATTTCCATAAATAATAAAAACAAAAAAGTCGAAACTAGTTTCAGTTCTTGTTTTGTTTACTAATCATGGAATTTTCCAGGAGATCATGGACTCTATGACAAAGATTAGAAAGATATTTTTGATAGCTGAGAAAATTTCCTATAAAAAAAACAAACTTGATCGAAAATACGGAAAGATCTTTTTTATAGCTGAGAAAATCGTGTGAGATCGACGTTGGTTCTTATCGAATGAATACAGAATTGATGTTTCATTCAGCGTTTCTAGTTTGACTTGAACCGTTACATCACTACTGAACATCACTACTGAATTACACATAAAAAAATTTGGTAGGAGAACCGAACACTTTCGCTAATGAATTCTATTGAAATGTTATTGTATTGTAATTCTGTTGCTAATTTTACTCATATTTTCACATCCTTTTCACGCCATTTTTCAATGACCATTTCATGAAAGAAGGCAATGGATTTAGAAATTTCACGATGACTCTTTTTCTTAAGGGGAGATGGCGGTGAAATTTGAAAGTTGCAAGGGTTTGTCCCTACACTGAGAGAAAAAATTACTTTCGACAAAGATCATTTCCTTGATACAACAAAAGATTCTCTTGTCAATTTCTATAATCGTGAAATCTCCTGGTAAATCATTTTGTGCTCACACTGAGAGAAAGGAGTCGTTCAATAGGATGAGATTCTTTTGCCCCGAGAAAATTTTCAAGTGTTAGCCTTAGCGTAAGTCTTCCCATCAGTTCATATAGTTTACGTTATATCTAGAATTGAATGGATTGCGAGAATTCACACTTTTCCAATCTGATCACTTATCATCTCCAACTGAGTCACTCTTATTTCATTATCAATTCAAATGTGTAGAAAATTGATCTCACGTGTTGTTATCTTTGTACAAGATTTTATGTAATCATAGTCCTGATGAACAAAAAATTCTAGATATAACGCAAACTGCATGAATTTATCGGAAGGACATCATTTCTAGTCTTGAGAACGAAATTATTTATCAGGAGATTTCACGATTTTTTACATTGACTAACGAATATTTTCTTGTATCAAGGAAATCTTATTTGTCAAAACTAGTTTTTTCTCTCAGTGTAGATAATTTATATCGAAGAAGTGTTACGAAAGAACCTTCGACAATAAAGTATATGGAATAATGAACATCTGTTAACTTATTTCCGTCTAATATCCATTAGGAAATAGCACAGAAAAATTACGAGTGCTTTTTACGTAAATTTAAACAATATTATACTACTTTTTTTTATATGCCTTATAGCTTTTTTTGGTTTATATCATGTAATAATCTTCTATTTGCCCTTGGGGGGTGCATTCTTACCCCAGGGCATCGATAAAATGCTCAAATAATAATAATAATAATAATAATAATAATAATAATAATAATAATGGCATGAATGAATAGAATTTACTAGCAAATGCATCAGGTTTTCCACTAAATTTTTTCACGCGTGTACAATTTTAGGATTTTCATTCACACTAGAGACCTGATTCGTAGTTGGAATCGCGAGTCTTCGTCTCCTGGTGGAGTCGAGGCTCTCGAGTCCAGGTACACGACACCAGTGTGGGGGTGTTGACGCCATGAATAGCTGATTGAATGCACAAAAGCCACAGGGGAGGCATGCAGGCAGGCACACGAGCCACAGTAGTTTCTTCTGGTACGTCCCGAATTCCCCAACAATGGGAAGCAAGTCGTCGAGGTCAAATGCATCCTAGAAGACAACCTCAGTAATAAATTCTCTCAACTGAACCCATCGAACACCTCTTGAATGCTACAATTATTTTTCAATTATATTAAAATCACACAAATGATCTCTTGCAGTGAAAGAGACGAAGGAGAAAATCGAAAATTTCATATGAAGATTATTCGTCTGTTTTCTAGGGACCGAATGGGTTGAGATGAGTTCATCGAGCAATTTTTCTTGCAGAAAATTTCATGAACCGTAAGAAAGTTCTTAAGGGGAGACTACTATGAGTTTTAAAAGTCTTGGGTTATTGGAGTGAGACTTTTCATACGTTGAAGTTCAATTATATAGATCTGAAAACGAATAATTAGTGCAAAAAATTTGTTGTTGTTGTTTGTTTGCCCGAAAACGCTTAAAATTCCAAATCAGTCAGGGCCTTTAATTTTTTAACTACGAAGGTTTTTTTTTTTAATTTTCGGAAAAATATGTGGAATAACAATTACGAGCTAGTTTTTTTTAATTCGCCTCTTACATGGCTTAATTTGCTTTTTTTGTATTTTTTTACACGAATAGTGAATTTTGTTATATGAAAAAACCGAAATCAGCTGTGTAGGAGTCGAATTCCACAAAACTGGCTCGTCATTGTTGTTCCACACATTTTTCCGAAAATTTGGAAAAAAAAATCTTTTGTAGCTCAAAAATTGGAGGCCCTGGACTGTTCTTAACATTTTAAGCATTTTCGGGCAAACGAACAATAAAAACATTTTTTTTGCACTAATTATTCGTTTTCATATCTATATAATCGATCTTCAACGTATGAAAAGACTCACTCCAATAACCCACGACTTTTAAAACTCATAGTAGTCTCCAGCCCCGGTGACTTGGCGCAGTGGGTAAGTTCGTTGCTTTTAAGCACTTAAATTTAAAAAATATCAAGTGAAAAAAACAACGCATAAATCTCAAAGAGGAAGATTCTGCATTTACCTTACGATTAATTTCAAAATAATTATAAACTCGAGAGTCTCGCCAGACCAAAGTTTACACAATTAGTAAAAAAATACTGATCGTAGAACTCTTTTTTCTATACTAGTTTTTAAGGTTTGTACATAATGTAAATATTGACTATTATATTGAATAAAAAAACTTGGTTAAACAAAAAAAAAGTGGGTAAGTTCGTTGCCTCACATGCGAAATGTTCCGAGTTAAAATCCCGGCCGAGTAGAATGGTGCGATCTAACCATTCAAAGTCTTGATCATCATCGCAGTATACTCTAACCGGGTCGAAACGATGTAAAATAACGATTAAAAAAATAAATAAAAACTCATAGTAGTCTTCTCTTAAGGTAAATACACCTATGCTCGTCCCTGTCTCTATGCTCGTTCAGACATCGTGAGCTAGCATATTTTAATCATTTTGACAGCCCCGAGAGTCTATTAAGAGTCAAATACGAGTGGACTTATTATTTTAGTTCATAAGGAAAGTTGTAGACACTAATGAACAGTGATTTATTGAAGAATAAGAGAGAAAAATCCGATTCACGTCAACTGGTGCTACGACAGAGTGAATTCTTAAGCCGCAAGTTAAGAAACCCACAATTTTTATGTTGAATAAAAATTGAATGAAAAAATGAATGCAATGAATGCAACGCCAGGCGTACGCAACGCTTGTAATTCTCACAAATAAGGCAGGGTCTACAATCGACGTACAGCCTCCGTTTCTTGCTCAACTATGTTTCGATTATTCGTGACAATTGCAAACGTTACGAGCACTAAAGTTCGTAAACAGAAAACACAGAGTGCAAGTTCACGCTGTTCACGAACTTTAGTGCTGTACCTTGCGTTGTATTCATTGTGGCATAAGACAGAGTCTACAATCGATCTACGGCCTCCGTCTGCATCGCGTTGCAATAAATATAGATATATGAATTACCTTAGCAACGTGACGCAAACGAGTGAGGCGCATTTATTGTAAACTCTCCTTAACCCTTCTGCATGAGAATTCACTTTACGCACGCTCGGGAGCGTTACGTACCCCGTGCGACAGAACAACTGCTTAAGAGGCAATGGAACATGGAGAGAAATTTTCTAGAAAAATTCTAGTACGAGTACTGGAAAAAATGACAATCTACCGGCTGTGAAAAATTCTAGTGCTGTTAAGGTAAAATTTCTTGGTATTTCTGGTAAAATTTCTGGGGATTTCTGTGAAATTTTCACAGAAATACGGGGAAAAATTCACGTTTTTCTCCAATAAAATTTTTAGTGCCGGCGCTGGAATTTTTTTTCTGGCCGTCACTTTGCGCCTCTTTTCCCGTGCTAGCACTAAAATTTTTCTAAAAAATTTCTCTCTGTGAACTTACCACCGGAGTAGAAATTGGATTTTGGATTTTACTGGATAGTCGTCTGACGACGAATAAACTTCGAATCCAGCTTTTACTTCGATGGTAAGTTCCATTGCCAAGGGATAACAGAAGGCCACCGTTTCCTCGAAATTTTCAAACAAATTTCCTATTGAAAGTTATTAATATTTTTTAAACCCAAAGTACATTAATCTTCGTCATCGCTTCTTGAAGATTAATGTGCTTTGATTTGTAAAAATATCGATAACTTTCAGTCGAAAATTTGTAGAAAAATTTGGAAAATTAGCGGCATTCTGTTACCTCTTAAGGGTACCCGCCCATGGAACAGAATCCACATGGAGACGCAGCCGCGTACACCAATCACAGTCGAGAAAATAAAATTAGCGGGAAAATCTTGCGATCTTATTGGTTATTCGGATGCGTCTCCGTGGGGATTCTATCTCATGGGCACTCACCTTTATGCACAATAAACCGTTTCGAAAAGTGCACTTTTCAAGCAAGTATCACAAAAAAGCTCTTTTAATATATTCTTGAAAATCCACTCAATCTCGAGACACCAAAAAGATCACATTTGATGAATTTCTCAATGACCCTCAAAATTCTTCAACTCGTTTTTGAGATAATTTCAAAATAATCCAGGGGACGATGAAGCAAAGTGGAACGTTTTTCATCGACTAAAAATTCTAATATCTGTATTTACAAACAAAAATATCAAGAATTGAAGTAATTACATTAGTATACACTACATTAGTATATTTCGATATGAGTGCGTAAAAGTGGTTTTTGACCCGTGAGAGATGTGAATTCACGTATGAAAAAATCGTATAGAAATTTTGTATACGGATTGCGTATAGAATTTGTGTAGGATTTTCGTATATGATATTCGGATTTATACGGATATTTATTATACAAATTATTTCTACACGATTTCTATAGGATCAAACATTTCGTAGGGAGTTGCGACATTTCTCTACGTTTTTCTTTGGAGCGTTTAGACATCTTTCATATATGAAAACAAAAATTTATGTAAAAATTTGTTTAGAAATAATTAGTATAGAAATATCCGACCGTATAGAAATAGTATCTTATGTCATTAGGCGATAAAAGTTTGTTTGTTTGTTTGTTGGGGCTTAACGTGGCATCGACAGCTAGGTCATTAGCGACGGGTTCGCGACTCTTTATTGTCGTTCGAACTCACGACTATTTCCTCTGTAGCCTATATAGGTTACGATGGTATCGACAGTATTTCGAAGGTGAGAATCAACTGTAGTCAGTTAGGTTCTCGAAACACGTGGAACTGTGGATCCTGTATTCTTACATGATTCGAACATGCTTAACACATTGGGTTTCTCTCATTGTTACAACGTATACTTGATGGTGTCCTTATATTATTTGACTAAATCAAATAATCCAAAAATAATTAGCCAGTGCCGAGTTTCGAACCCAGAACCTCTGGCTTTGTAGGCGGACACCTTACCCACTCGGCCATAGACCCGACGCGATAAAAGTATTATCTGGTAAATGTGGCTTTATAATCCGAGCCGAAGGCGAGGATTATGATCACATTCGCCAGATAATGCTTTTATCGCCGTGGGATATACGCTATTTTATGTCATTGGGCCCGAAAACCGCGATCTAACCGAGCGAAGCGAAGCGAGGTTAGAATCGCGGTTTATCAGGCCTAATGACATAAAGTTCTATACGATTTTTTCATACGTGAAGCGTTCGCCGAAAGTGAATGCTTACCCTCTCAGGGTTCGCAGAACACTTTTCTTACCCTATTTTTCTTCACAATGTGTGGAACGTGGGATTTTGCGCACGCGGAGCTTGCGTAAAATTTCAAGTAACGCACATCACAGACAAAATAGAAACATTATTGTTTACTATGTGAAGATAATAATCGCGGACCAGTATGGTCACACTCAAAATTTACTGTTGAACATAGTAAAAATTGCAAGTCGATCTAATAGAAAGTGGTAGAATAAAATTAAAGTTCAATTTGAGACGAGTAAAAATTCGGTTAACACGGAGAGAAATATTCAATAAAAATTACGTATCTTTGACGTAATTTGAGAGCGAAATGTGGTTGTAGGAAATGTTACGGAACTGTCACGGAATTTTTCCAGAGTGTTCCGTAATTTTCATCTGAATCTCCTGTGAAAAATTACGATACCGTCACTTAAATTTTCTGAGTCGATTCCGTAATCGGTGAGCAAATTATGAGTTCCGTAATTTTTACTCAACATTTCTCTCCGGGAAGATAAATCAAATTTTAAAGTTGTTTCGGTATGGTATTTGATTACTACGTTCACATTGTAATTTTTTTAAATTTTATATTCTCTCCGTGAAGTGATGAAAACATTTGTTGTTGCCCCACTCTTCCAAACATGGAATTTCCGAACTTGATTCGCAATCAATTCTCAAGTATTTCCGAAAATAAAAAGTTAATCTAATTTATGGTATCAATTCGATGATGAAGAATGTTGGTGATAATCATGAAGAGACGTTCGTAGTTGAAAACTTGATGCCAAAAAAATCTCTTCCAATATATTCCTCAAACCCCACTCGATCCCGGGACATTAAAAAAATTCACATGTAACTCCCGAATTAATTTTCTATCCTTCACTT